TTATAAGTAGTGAAATTTCAAGAGTTAAATTTATTTCTAAATAACAGTTTAAATAATAAATAGCGAATTTGTTAGTGTTTTTATGAAATATATACTTTCATACTTCCCAATAAATAAAAATAATATTAGTATAAAAATAATACCAATTTAGATTTAATTAGTGCAGATTTATATTATTATTTCTTGCTAATTAATGTTTATAATAAAGTTATCTGCGATTGTTTTATTACTTACACAATTAACAAAAATGTTAAATTATATCTCAATATATTGTCTAAGAAGATAGTATTTAAAGGAAAAATCAATAAAATAATAAAGAGAGGATTGTTGCATCTTAACTTATTAATAAATATCAAATGAAAATATTGGAATGACTGAGAAAAGCTTACACAGAGAATATTTAAGTATTGAAAAATATTTGGAAATAATATATCCAAAGAAAACAGATGCTTATGAATACAAATATATTTATAATTTAATTTAATTTAAAATATTCATAATTTCGTTAAATATATTTTAATTTTTATTCAAAATAATTATAACCAATAAAATTATAATTAAATTTAGAAAAAAATAGTAATGACTAAAATTCATTAACGAGTAATTGAAGAAGTTTTTATGAAATAATCATGATATATGAAAGCAAATTAGACCTTTATTTTTGTTAGTTACTCTATTTTGATTTTTTCTGAAATATATGTATTCGATAATAAATTATTTGCCTAGTTTGAGGAATATGAATAAATGCTCAATAGCTTTGGTTAAGGTAATTTAAATGAAGATTCTTTTCCTTATTTTAAATTATGAGCAGTCTTATTTTATCTCCTAGCTGATTTATTCTATATTAATCTTCAATCATATTACTTTATTTATTTTTATCGCTCTCCATAGAAATAATAAGAAATGAAGTAGCTTTACAAAATATTAGAAATCTGAATTATTGAATTCAAATTTTCTTTTTAAAAACACCATTACTACCATTTTAAAAACTAACCTATATGACTAGAACACAATATTTATTTCATATTAGATTATGAACTTTGAATTAGATCATTAAATTAATTTAAAATATTTCAATTTTAAATAATTATTTTAAGGTTCGTTTTCTGAGTCAACCAATTTCAGAATGTTAATAATTTTGCTATCATGATTTGAATAAAGCATCAAAAAATTATCTGAAATTATAGGAGGATATATTTGTCAGATATATTGGCTCATTGTAATTAAATGTTCTCAATTAAAATTATCGTGTTTAAATAAATACAATAGTGAGGTGTTGCTTTCAAATAGTTGATTATCATCTTGATAAATTATTTTTCAACTATATTATAATTTAACTATAAAATATTACCCTCTTATCAATATTTATGAATAATTTTATATTTCCAAAATAAATGTTCATATAGATCCATTCAAATATTTAGATTAGTAGGATACTCTTAAGCCTATATTTACATTAATTTTAAAAATCCTTTTAAATGAATAATAGTTGTAGATGACAGCAATAACAAAATTATTATATTTTTTTTGTATAACTCTCAAACAAATATGAAGTTAGAAAGTTCTTTGATTCAGTCTTATTAATCGATTTATCCTTCATTAAATATTCAGTGAAGTTGTAAATTAAATATAACTGAGTTTTTCCTTTCCTTTATTTATAACTTGATAAATAATGTTCTTTTATAAAAAATGAGAATTAAAAGTTAGGAGCATATGTTAGAATCTAATGAAATGTAGAGAAATCTAGAATTTCGAAA